ATGGTGGAAGCTGCTCCCTGCTCCTGGCCCCGCATGCGGTGGCCGCTGCTCTTGGGTCCCTGCCTCTGGCTCTGCTCCCGGGATTCCCCATGGGAGGTGGGGAAAGGGAACCCCAGGAACCACTGCCGCCCCACACAGGGTCAGGGAACCTCAGGAGCAGCTGCTATCCTGTGCAGGGTTGGAGTTGGGGAACTCTGAGAGCAGCTGTACAATAGCTGCTCCCGGGGCTCTCTACCCACACGTCACTGCCCCTGCAGGCTGCTGCCAACCAGACTGGCTCCTTTCCCAGCCACAGTCAACCTCCTGCCAGACAATGGAGTCCTGGCCAAGAGAGGTTCAACTTGTACTGAGAGGATGGATCTGAATTTACATGTTTAACTTACATTATTATAAATGTTTTCCAGTGACAATGATATTTTTCTTTACATATTTAAGCCAAAATAATTTAGCAAAATATCAATTACATGTTCCACAAAAAGGAGGAAAATTGTTACAAAATGTTGATTTTGTAGAGGAAAAGAAATCATAGAAGTAGAAAAGAACAAGAAAAAGAATACTGAATACATTAAAATATATTCGGGGAAAAATAACCAGGTTAAAAGAAAAATTTGACATTGATAGTCAATAAAAGACCCATATTCCTCAATCTCAATGTGCAACATTTGGAAACAATCATTCCTCTGCCATATTGTCTGCATATTTTTACATCAACATGATATCTAGATACCATTATCATGATGTTATTGAAAAAGTCACCAGATGGCACTCTTACACATATTCTTAATGATAGAAATGTAGCCGTGTTAGTCTGGGGTAGTTGAAGCAAAATGCAGGACAATGTAGCACTTTAAAGACTAACAAGATGGTTTATTAGATGATGAGCTTTCGTGGGCCAGACCCACTTCCTCAGATCAAATAGTGGAAGAAAATAGTCACAACCATATATACCAAAGGATACAATTTAAAAAAATGAACACATATGAAAAGGACAAATCACATTTCAGAACAGGAGCGGGATGCGGGGGGGGGGAGGTAAATGCCTGAGAGTTAATGGTATTAGAGGTGATAATTGGGGAAACTATCTTTGTAATGGGTAAGGTAG